TAGTTCAAATGTGGCTTTAGATACTTAGTAGCTTTGTGACCCAGAAATCAATTAACTTCTGGCTGCCTCAGTTTCCGTAACTGTAAAATGAGGGAAGTAATATCTACCTTCCAGGGTGTTTGGGAGGATTAAATGAGATATTTATAAAGCACTTGGCACGTAGTAGGCACTTAATGCTTATTTCCTTTCCCTTTCCCTGTCCCCTCTGATGGAGCATAGGTAAGATCTGTTAGGAAGATAGTTACAATTGTTCAGTCAGGAGATAATGAGGGTTTATGGTTGGATGATTACAATGGGAGTAGAGGGAACAGATGAAAGATACTAGTGTGCTGAAACTGACAATTCTGAGCAATTAATTTAATTAGAGTAATGAAGTAATAAGGAATAGTTAACTGGCCCAGGTTTTTTTATTTGAGTCTCCTGCTGTTCCTTGGTTGGTCACTTGCATAACATTTACTGAAGTCTTCCTTTGGCATTTTGGTTTTTAAAAAACATCTATAGTAGCAGTAGAGAAATATGGTGCAAGAGCGTAATTTTTTTTTTTTTTTTTTGGTTAGGAGTGTACCTTTTGACTGCTTTGCTCACATAAACATTTCCGTGTCTGTTTCCAAGCTAACAGACTCAAATGTTTTTTGGATTCTAGGAGAGAGAATATTTTAGCAATGATTGTTTTGGTGTATTTAGAAGCAAGAGTGGCTGCTGATTCAGCTAATGTGGGAGTGGTGGATTAATTTCGCATTTTTACCTTTGGAGTATAACTAACTTGTTTTGAATAGTATATGCACAAAACTCAAGTGTATATAAAAGACTCTTTTGTACAGTCTTGTCTCCACCACTATTATATAATCTCACGTCTAGTCTCTATAATCCTTTAGACCTTCATACCTAAAATATACATCTTTTTCTTCTCTGCCTTTCAGAATCCTTTTTTTTTTCTTTAAGACTCTTTAGTGCCTTTTCTTTCTTACAGGTTTCCTTGATCTCCTGCTCCACCAGTCTGAAATTGATCTCTTCCTTTTCAAACTGTTCTAGAGCACTTTGCCTGAAAGTTCTCCTTTGGCCCCATAATTGCATGCCTTGTGTAATTTGTTGTGTGTTTATCTTATCCTTCCTTCCCTATAGAATGTAAGCTTCTTAAGTGCTAGAGCTCAGATTTATTTTTGTTTCCCCAATGCCTAGCACATTAACTCGAATATTTATTAAATGTAATCAAATTACTGGTAGATCCAAAGGCTACTTTGCTGTTAAGGAACCTGACATGGAAGGAAGTAACAGTGGCTGAGAAATAACTGCCTTTGAGATCATGACATCTTTAAAGCATTCTGTGTTCTAACCCTATAAGTAGAGTCATTTGTTAAGATTGAGTGTTAGACAAGTTAAAGCAATGCTTGTAGGTGATCTCAATCTTGTTTTTGTTCTATAAGAATGCATAGAAAACCTTCCAAATCTCAGAAAATTCAAAGACTCGGATTTCTGCCCTTCTTTACTTCTAAATTTATAGCAGACCACCTTTATAGATAGGTTGAAGCCATTCAGCATGACATCTTTATTCTTATTTTACTCATTCCCTTTTCCTTCCATAGGATGATAGAATTGGACTAATTATAGATTTAGACCTAGAATAAACTTTTAGGGATCATTTAGTCTCACTCTTATTTCAAACATGAAAAAATTTAGCCCCAAAGAAATGAAGTAACAAGGACACATAGGCAATATGTAGCAAAGCCAGGTTTTTTTTAATACAGTTCTTAAACTAAATTTCCTCCTGCTTCAAAAGCAAAAACATTTTTCTTGTCAGTATTAACTCTCTAGCCTATACTTTTGTTCTTTTTGTCTAGCTTTTTTTTTTTTTTTTTTTTTGCAAGGCAATTGGGGTTAAGTGACTTGCCCAGAGTCACATAACTACTAAGTGTTATGTGTTGGATTTGAAGTTGGATTTGAACTCAGAGGTTGGATTTGAACTCAGATCCTCCAGACTCCAGGGCTGGTGCTCTATCCACTGCCCCACCTAGCTGCCTCTTTTCATCTAACTTTTATGGGACCTTGATACATTGCTTTTCTCTGTGTTCTCTGCCTCCAAAAAATTCACAGTAATCATTAAAACTGTTTGATACTAGTTAAAAGATGGAGAGGTTGGTCATTGGAATAGATTAGGTATACAACATACGGAAGGAAATGCTGTATCATCTTTTGATAAATCTAAAGATACCCCGATTACTGTGGTAAGAATTTACTATTTAACAAAAACTGCTGGGAAAACTGGAAAGCAGTATGGCAGAAATCAGGTAAATACCAGTATCTCACATTGTATATCAAGATAAACTCCAAATGGATAAATGATGTAATTATGGAAGGTCATGTCATAAACAAATTAGAGGAGCAATGAGGGAAATGCCTTTTGAAAATATGGGTAGAGTTCACAACTAAACATAGGATAGAGAAGATCAGAGAAGACAAAATTAATCATTTTGATTACATAACATTTTTTAACTAGTAAATTTGATTACATAACATTTTTAACTAGTGCAGCTAAAATTAGAAGTGAACTTGGAACAACATTTTTACAGCAAATTTTTCTAATAAAGGTCTCACCTAAGATACGAAGGAAACTGATTCCAATTTATGAGAACAAGAGTCATTTTCCAGTAGATAAGTGGTCAAAGGATGTGAGCAGGCAATTTTAAAAGGAAGAAATCCAAGCTATGAGCAACCACATGAAATCCAAATGACTAATCATTAGGGAAATATTAAAGTAATTCTGAGGTTACACCTCACACTCAACATATTTTACAAAGATGACAAAGGAGTAAAATAACAAATGTGGTGGGTGAGTGAAAAACAGATACATTAGTGCATTATTGGTGGTGCTGTGAATGAGTCTCATTATCTTGGAATGCTATTTTGAAACATGTTCTAAAAGTCACTAAACTTGGACCCAGCAGTACCCTATTAGCTTGATAACCCAAGCAGAGGTTTTTAACATGGAATCTGTGAACTTAAAAAATTTTTTTTGATTTCTGAATTTCAGTAATTGGTCTTTTGTAATTCTGTGCATTTTATTTTATTCATTTAAAAACAACTTGGAAGAACTTAAGAATGAATAGTTCAGTGGTGGTGGCCAAAAATAATTTCAGAGGATCAAAGATAAAACATGCTGCCTGTTTCCTGGTAGAGGGCTAATGGATTCCAGTTGCCAATTGAGTTGTACATTTGCAGACATAACCAATGAGGGAATTTTTTTCTTTTGCTTGGCTACCCATATTTGTGGGGTTTTTTTGGGGGGGGGGTAGGCAATGAGGTTAAGTGACTTGCCCAGGGTCACACAGTTGGTAGGTATTATGTGTCTGAGGCCAGATTTGAACTCAGGTCCTCCTGAATCCAGGGCCAGTGATCTATCCACTGTACCACCTAGCTGCCCCGCTACCCATATTTGTTACAAAATCTTTCTTCCCCACCTCTTTGGGTTGAAGCTAAGCTAAGGAGGAAGGTGTAGTGTTGGGGTTGCCCCCCCATGTAAAAGGAAAGAAAAGAGGGGTCATTGACACTTTAAGAATGAATAGAAGAGAACAGAAGGCAGGTCAGAAAGAAACAGGACAACCTTGAAGATTACATGTTTAAATTATTATATACTTATAGAAGCAAGCTGTACATAATAGATTTGCAGTTTCCTATAAACAAATCTCTTTTTCTAAGTTCAGAATTAAATTAAAAACACTATTTTCTATATTGGAAAAATATTTACTCTGTTCTCTATTGTCCTGTGTCTCTTTTTTCTTCCATTCTTTTCTAATGAATTGTCTACATCTGTCTCTGCATCCTTTACTTCCCTTCTCTCCCAGTAACACATTGAAATCTGGCTTGTACTCTTAACTTTGTACTGCAGTTGTAGAACTATGTTCTTGAAGGCAAGGCATCTTTTAATTGTCACATTTAGTTGCCTTTTTTTAGTCCTTGATCTCTTTGAACTTTTTCTGCAGTTTTGATAAAGTGCTACTCCTTCCTTTTTGAAATACTGTTTACTTGGCCTTCATGGCACTACAGTCACTTGGTTAAGCCTGTTTCTTAGATTTTATTCCTTTCCTTTCTAAATCTGGACAATGGTTAAGTTCAATCTTTGGTCACTGGATTCTTATGCTGAGCTGCTTATATTCACTCAGTCTCTTGGCTTCATCTGACACCTTTATGTCTGTCATCTCGATGTGTGTGTGTGTGTGTGTGTGTGTGTGTGTGTGTGTGTGTGTGTGCGTGCATATAATGTTTTTTGGTGTTGATTTGTCCATGAAGAGAGTACAGTTTTGCATTTTTGATTGCCTGTTGGATATCCAAGTGAAAAAATGTCCCATTATCACTGCAAACTCAATATAATTAAAACGGAAATCCCTCTACCCTAGAAATAACTTTTTCTGCTAGTGGAACCATTCATCATCTTATCACATAGGATCAAAATATTAGAGTTGTCATAAACTCTAACCTATCACATCCCTTCCTCATGTATTCCTTATTCTCTTTTCCTATTGTCAGTACTCTTCATTCGGGTTCTTTTCACCCTATTCTTGGACTATTTATATAGCTTCCTGTATTCACCCTTTATGCCCCTTTAATTCATTCATATGTCATCATCAGGTTAATCTTAAAATAATGTTTGATCATGTTACTGTCCTGTTTGCATGGAGTCAGTCAGTGGCTCCTGACTGCATGCATAATGGAGTCTAAATGTCTTAATCTTAGCCTACTACTGCTTAATTTTTATTTCATTTAATTTTTCTTGTAGCCCTATATTTCTCTTGAGAATATGGATTGGATCCTTTTTCTGTCCTCTGTGATGTCTAGATTTTTATTTGGAATGGGTACTCAAATATTTATTTTGGTGAAGGCATTTTCAGTCTTAAGTTTGTATTAACTGTCCTGGTAAAACTAATGAAAGAGGAAAAATAAAGTTAAACTAGCTTACTTATATTATTTTAGTCACCTTTTTTTTTTTACTTTTTTCTTTTTTTTAGCGTGATCAACAAATCTGGGGTTAACCGTGTTGTTTGGAAACGACCTCGACTTACTCATAATGGTCCTGTTAGAAGAAGCACAGTTATTGACCAGATACCCTTCCTGGCAGTTGCAAGAGCACTTGGTAAGCAGGACTCACAAGTTGGGTGGGATCTTATAAGCTTTACTATCAGTTAGTAGACTGTGAAGGAGGGGCATATTCAACTGGCATGTTTGGGAAAGAATAACTTGTCATTTTGAACCCTTTATTAAAAATGCATTGTTAAGTGAAGGGGAAGACTGACCACTGTGTTAACCTGGTACTGTGTGTAATCTCATCAGAGGTGGTTATTGTCTCTTTGAGCTTTGCCATCCGTGTCTTTTAGATCATAACATTGTTGATATATTTTAGTAGACATTGTCTCATTGGCAGGTATTTGGACCTCATATATCCTTTAAAGCTACTTAGGAATGCCTTCCCTATTTTATCCTCTCAGTTAATTAAGAGATTTCCTCTGATAGGTTCCTTCCTACAAAGGTCTTTTTGCCTTTAGCAAGAGATGAATTGCCTTAAATAGAGGAAAGAGGCAATTTTCTAAATCATTTTAATGAATGCAAATTTGTTTCTGTGTTGGTAGTGAGGAGGTCTGCCTTTACTGGTTAAGGAGAGGGGTGGTGTAGCTGTGCTAAAAATATTTTCTTCCCCTTTTTAAAGAAAATACTTATAGGTATTACCCTGACTTATTTCTTTATGAGTCATTTCCCCCCATTCCCACCTCCAGATTAAATCCTCTTTTTTGACAAAAAACAATTAAACAAAAGATGATTAAAGCATCTGACAACATATATATAATTCTGCCCTGGTAATATTCCCCATAGCTCTGCCATGGGGGTTAGGTGTATGTGTTAGGGAGGAGTGGTATAGAAGAACAGTGTTTATTTGTTAAATACGTTTTCTCATTGGAAATACGTGAATACAAGTTAGTTTCTTGAAACTTGCCAGTTTTGGTCATTTTTGGTAAAACCTTTTGAGATTCTGAGTATTGTTAGTCCTCTCCATGGCTTTTAGAACATATCTAGACTTTTATATAGGAAGGTTATTTGTCAAAAGCAAAATCTCCTTTCTGGGGAGGTTGCAATTTTTTTCAGAGTAAAAGTAAAAGAGATTATCATGTTCTGGTTTTATCTCAAGCAAGGTTCATTTGAAGGAGAATGAGATCTGTGGACTAGAGCTTTTTGTTTCTCATGGTGCTATTTTGTTTCTGTTATGGGACATGTACAAGATGTAATTGATTTCTGTTCCTGGCAGAGTAACAACTGCTAGAGGAAGACCTCTCCTTAGCATGTACTTTTTCATAGTTGGTTCTAACAAACGCAAACGTTTACTGGATTGCATCAAACCCTCCCTTTCATGCTTTCTTGAATAGATTTGAAGTATATACAGTCTTTTTCCAGAGATCTTAAATGCCTTGCAAACCTTGGTAGCCATGTTTTAAAGACTGATAAACTGAAGCAGTAGTAAGCTTAAAATGCTTATACAGTGAATCAGTGACCTAGGTGAGGATAACGCCTAATGTCCAATAAGTACTTATTTCTTTTGCTCTTCTCTGTCAATTATTTTTGTTCTCAATGCTGTGTGTGGGTAAAGAGCTTTACAATTGGTGGATTTTTGTACTTTGAAGTTCTCTTCCTTTGTGTCTCTTGGGTTTAAAAAATGTTTGAAAGACCCAGTTAAATTTTAGTCCAGTTTCTCTCACAAAGCTAATGAAAGTTTTTGGCTGCTGCTTGTGTTCAGAAAGGGATTCTTGGAAACTCCCATCTGTTCAGCACCCATCATAGCCCTGATAGCTCCTTGCATGAAGATTATTTCTAAGGCCTGCTAAATCCAGGAAGGAGAAAATGAGATTACCAATCACTTGGCAGCAGTACCAGTATTCTTAACTGGTTCTACTGTTAGCAAATCTAAGATCTTGTATTCACAATATATTTTTCTTTAAATGGCCTGTAACAGTTAAATTTGTGTAAGACTGATGGAAAATGGTTTTGGAGGGGCTTTGTACTTGGAAACTTTCTTTAATGAAGAATCAGAGGATATGCTTCTTTCTTTTGTGGAGACTGGGTTTTACTTTATATGTCTGGGCTAACCAAAGCCCCACTCTGTGCAAGTACAGGTGATGAAGAGAACAGGGACTGTCTTTTCTGTTTGTATCCCTAGTGCTTATTACCTTGTAAGTTCTTAAAAAATACTCTTTCATTCATTCCTTCATGGAGAAGCCTTATTGAGTAATAGACTTTACATTATGACTGAATGGTCTCTTCTCTATTTTCTGCTTGAAATCTAACCTATATAATTTTCTCTGGCACTAGTGATACAATGTCAGTTCTGGAATGCTTGCTTATAGAACAAAGATTGTTAGAACAATTACCTGTGCAAATAAATGGCTTGGGTGTGACTAGTTAGGGATATGAAGATATACTGGTGTCCATATGCTAACTGAACAGAGCTGTTGAGCTGGTTTTACAGATGGTGTGTGAAGGTGGGGTGGGAAGGGAAAAGGAAGAACTATTTTGTCCTGTGATCTCAAAGATATGAAGGCTGCTGTCCTCACTCACATTTTGTAGATGAGAAATAAGTCCAGGGACTTATTTCATTGTTACATATAAAATATATATATTGACTGAATTCTCGATCATTCTGTTACATAAAATATTTGTCTTTTTTGAATTCCTAGTCATTAAATCCATAGAATTTTCATGAATGCTTACTACTTTATTTTTTATTTTTATGTTTTTCCCCAGTTTCATGCAATAACAATTTTTAACATTCATTTTTTAAAAATTTGAGTTCCAAATTCTGTCTCTCTCTCTTCCTTTTCTCTTTCCTCCTTGAAAAGGCAAGGAATTTGATGTAGATTATACATATGCAGTATGCAAAATGACTATTTTTGCAGCATGTTAGAGAGGGGAATTGGATTGTTCGAGAATTCTGTATTCTAGAGGGAAAGGACAATTCAGTATTCTAGAAGGGATGTTTATAGTTGACTTACATTTTCTACTCTTATTAAGCATTGCTTACACCTATGGTATAAGCTCTGGTTGATCCTGATGGAAAGGAGTTAAATATAGGCCTGGTGAAAGGAGTATGATCTGAGCACCAGGTTAGTGAAGAATGAGGTGTATTTCTAGGAACTTTGCCCCTTTTAGGTGTTTTTTCCCTCACTCTCCTGTTTTGAAGACCAGTGGTAGGCATTGTAATCTGTCCAATCAACATGCATTTATTAAGCCCAGCTTACTATATGTATGCCAGGTACTGTCCTAAACATTAGGAATACAAATAGAAGCCAAAAGACAAATAGTACCTCCCCTCAAAGGACGTCCATTCTATTGGAGAAAGACACCACATAAGAAGAAGCTTTTAAAAGAAGGGGAGAATAGAAGGGGAAGGGATTGCTTGGGGAGCATGATGGAGTCTGTCAGTAGAGGAAGTTCACAGTTGGATGAAATCCAGTCAAATCTCTTTCAAGTATTAGATTAGGAATCAAGTTTGGTAAAGTTTCTTTATTTTCTTTGCCATTGTTGTATTCTCATTTTATTTGAAACTTCTAGTGCTCGATTCATACTAAGAACCACTAAATCTTATATTTTGAAAATTATACTTTATCTCATTAAATCTTAAATTTGAAAGGGCCATTAGAGATGCTTTAATTTAACCTCCTGGTCTCTCTTTAGAATATGCTGCTTCTTGAATACCTCTTCGGTATAGTGACCAGACCATTTCATAAGCCATTTCCTAATAGATCTATTATTGGAGATCTTTTGTTACAGAGTTCTCCCCTCTCATGGAATAGAGGTCTAGTGAAAGTAGTATAATTTGAAGACCTTCGCTGATTTCTTGATAACACTCTGATCTTACTTATGTACATATAGTAGCATGGAACACTTCTAGTCCTTTCATCTGTCAAGCTTTTAAATATTTTAAGCTAATGTACTATGTCTTCCCGTTTCTTTAGGTTACACATGTCCAGTTCCTTCATCATTTTTTCAAGATAATTTCTAGACTCCTCATTATTATATCCTTCTGAATATACTCAAGTCTGTTAGCATCCTTCTTAAAAGTATGGTTTCCAGAATGAAGCTTAACATTGCTAATGTAATTTAACCAATGAAATGATGTCTAAAGTCTCTATTTCCATTAGTGCAGCCTAATATTGTGTTAGGGTTTTTTTAGGATTTGCATTATATGTTCATCTTGGAATCCACTAAGTACCACCAAATCTTTTTCACATGAAATGCTTTCCTAGATTATACTTTTTTTTGGGGGGGGCATGTGAACTTAAAATTCAGGGCTTTGCATTTATTATCTGAAACCAAGGTGAAATCCTGTAATAGCTCGAATTCATGTTGTGCTTTACAGTGATGATAGTGCTTTTTATATCCTTTATTTCATTTGACTATTACAACAATTTTGTGAAGATATATTTTATAAGTATTTTTGTCCCACTTTACAGATGGGGAAACTGAGCTAGACAGAGGTAAAGTGAGTTTACCAAAGATACACATCTAGACAAAACTGAGATTTGGAGTTGGATCTTCTGACTTCAAGCCCAGCACTATTTATACTGTACAATATATTATGCCGTAATGCCATCTACTTGGACTGGCTTAATACTATCCAAATAATAGGTGTCCACTTTCAAGACAAACCTTTCAAGATAATTTCAAATCTTGAGTTTGTTGTCTGTACTAATCCATTTAGCTTTGTGTCTTATGCACATTCGTTAAGAATGCTTTCTGTCTCTTTATCCTTATCATTGACAAATATATTAGTTGGGACCAAAGACTTGTGGCTTTCCAATAGAGCATTTTAGTACAACTCATTATTTAGGTGACTATTGAATAGAAGGTCAGGGTGGTTTTCTGTGTGCTATGGAGGATACAGAGGTAAAATCTTTGTTCTCAGCATGCTTATTGACTATAAAAAGTACCATCAATTTTATACTTTGTTTTTGATATATGTATAATGGTACAAGTATAAGAAATGAAGAAATATATAATTACTTTAGGAGAGAGGTGTTTAATGCTAGGTACATTTGTTGCCAGGTAAGTACAGTTGAAAAAACCAGGCCCCTTTAGGGCCTTACCTTC